TCATACTTGAACCTGAAAATAAGAAGTCATATTTCAAAGCTCTGCTTTTGTAAAACAAAATTGCGACAGGTACCTAAATGGATGCAGCATACGGTAGGCACTTCAATAAATCATAATCATGATACATTGCCAAAATAGCAACTGTCTGTCATTAGTTTTTCTCAGAATAACTAAGTATAATCCCTTTGCTTAAACAACAACAAAACCTTGTTGTTACTGAGATATAATGTAAAAAAATATTGCTTTAATTTAAAAATTACTTACAAATATTTCAAAGTCCATACTGTTTTTAGCAACATATGCAAACATGACTCTCTGGAGCCATACTACTTATGGCTATAATCTCACTAGATTTCCCAAGGTAAGTAGGGTTGGGTATATAGTATTTGCATGGAAGACCTCCAAGGAAATTCCAAGTTACTGTGTGAATGGGTATTTTGTGCAAGGTGACGTTTTTCTGCTGACTCAGTATGGAACCAGCATAAACTATACGATCACAAGTGCTGTCTTTATTTCAGAGGTAAAACGAAGGATACCGAGCACTTGCGGACATTAAACACCCTGGTAGTTTTTGGTAGTGCAGGAGCGCCTGGCCAAACACCAGCCTAGATAATTACATCTTGCCTACTTACATTCCCATGTTGCTTTAAATGGATAAGGTATTATTCTTCTATTCTGGTATAAAAGTGGGCCCTACAGACCTTCCTTGGGCTCTCTTAGGACTATTTCTAGCATGACCTTTTCCATGGTCACACAGAGCCAATTTATTTGAACCAGTGTATTGTACTACATTTTGGCCTTCTGAAATCACTTCCACTGAGCTCACTGGAATTTACTTCAGCCCAAAGACACTGATTTAACAAAATCATCATTTAATTCCTACCCGTGAAAGTCACATTTACAATAAATCGCTGTGAAAAATTGTTTGGTTAGGAGATCAGTTTCTGTAGGACTCCCCTCAGTTCCTTTTGACCCAGACCAAATACTCATTACATTTGGTACGACCCTGCTCACTCTCACCAAAACGAATACCAAAACAGCAACGTGATCCAACGAAATCAAGACCAGGCCCCTTACTGGGAGACTTGTCTTGGGACCATACCATGTAACAACAGTGGAACCCTCTCATCTCTCCTCAATTTGAAGCAAGTTACACTGAGCAAAGATACATGCAATCTTTTCAAGTCAGCTGTACCTTACATTTTAAGAGAGAGTGCAACAGATGTTTAAGAGTTTGCTTTAAAGTGATATGTCTATTAAAACAACCGATGTTACTAGGGGACTATTCCCCTTAAAGGAATTTGCTTCATTGTAGTGGAAAGAAAGAAACCAGACTTCAAAAGACCTTCATTATTACCATGTTTGAGTACCTCAGGTTAGACCACTGTGCTGCCATTCACAAAAAAAGTCCTCTAGAAAGGAAGGAGTTGTTAGCATGTTTCCCTGCTGAAGGAGCCTGTTAGCAAGACGCATGCTGGCATTAGTCACAACCTAGTCTGTGGCAGGGTTGTCAATTACAATTATTCCCACAAATCTGAGTTTTTTTCCTTTCCAGTTACTCTCTGAGCTCTCAGTTTCAAAATTCATTTCGTATTTCTGGCTTGTCCCACACTATGACAATTTGAAGGTTGGCTTTTGGAGGCTTTTTTAGTTTAAAAGATTTTCTAATTGTATTTTTGTAGGTCAAAAGTGTTTTCTGAGTCTGTTATCTTGCTGTTATCCAAGACAGCAAATACAAGGTTTTTATAGACTTGTTTTCATGAAGATTTAGTTGTCTTAAGCCTGAAATTATTTAGGAAAGAGATGACCATGTTACTACAATTCATTGAATGCAAATTATGAAATTCAAAGGCAAACAGCTTGAGAAAAGTTATGCTTTAAATAGTATGACCAAATGCAACGTAAGGAAAGAGAAGGCAGGCAGGAAAGAATCTTCACAAACCCATATTTTCCCCCCCCCTCATTTCAGGTGACTTGCTGACCTCAAAAGCTTCTGACATTCAGTATTTCTGAAAACCATGAGTTTTCTCTCACATCTCTCTCCAGATACAGGGCCTAACTTTGCCTCCTGTTTTAAGTTTTTGACTTACACCCTTTGGAGAGTGAAGTTAACTTGACAAAAAGAGGGTGATGCAGCTGGTTGGACAAGAGCAACTCAATCCACGCAGTGAAATAATACTTAGGAGATAAAACAAGGTGAAGGGTAAGAGCATGAAATGTGACTAAGCAATTAGAGGTTCTCTTCCGCTTCCCCACACTAAGTAGCAAAAAGGACCATATGCAGCTGCTGAATTTTCTGCAGAAAAGAGCGTTCAGTTTCAGAGCAGGAAAGGACTTTGCCTCCATCCACACTGGCCAGCTTGAGAACAAGCAGACAAATGCATCCTGTAAAAGGGTACACCAACCACTCCTGTTGTGTAGCACTTGATCATTCATACACTCATAGTCCTTCCAAAAACTCAGGATTGCTTTATAGTATTGGTTTCTTGTAGAAGAAACAAATGGAAAGAGTCAAGTGCAGACTTCACTACCTGTACTCGAGTGGACTGGCATTAGTCAACCTGTGACCCTTCAGGGCCCTCTCCTTTGCTCCCATCACTATTCACTGCAGATGTCAGAGAGTAGCAAAGGCGAAAGGTCCAGGCCCCGGGCTGCGAGGCCGGGGAGGCCGGGAGGGACACTTCGGAGTTGTCTGGTGGCCGGGTAAGCCGGCGGTCCATGCCCGCCGCGGTGTGACGGGGCCGGGGGCAGCGGCAGCGCAGGCGTGCTGAGCGGGGCTTAGTAGGGCTGAGCGGGGCGGCGGCGGGTGGGCAACGGGACAGCCGGGCTGCCGTGCCGAGGTTGGGGCCGGAACAGGGCGCAGCCCCGGCGGCAGCTCCTGGCACAAGTGCGAAGCCGCGCGTCCCTGACTGCGCTGGCTCCCGCGGTCCTCGCCCCTTACCTCTGCGCTCCCGGGACGGCCTTTCTGGGCGGGAGAGCGAGAGGGGGTTACCTTTTCTTAGGAAAGTCCCGTCCCTTGCCAGAGAAACTTTCTACGTTCCTGTGCGTGAGAGGCAACTAGTTGCACTCGCTGAAGTGCGAGGAGTGTTTGGCTTCTCCCGTACCAGCCTCCTCCTCCTCCACCTCCCCCTTCCTCCCCCCCAATTTCCCCTCCCGTTTTGCTCTGAGTTGCGCTTTATTTGTGTGTGAAGAAAACGGAGGGGGGGGGGGGAACTTGTAGAGGGGATGTTCTGTTTTTGCCAGAGGAACAGTGCAAAAGGGGAGCCTCGGCTCGGAGAAGGTACGAGAATAAATACATAAGGAGCGGCCCTAAAATAAAGGTAGCGGCATATCCCGGCAGCGAGAAGGTGAGTGTTTCTGACTTCGCCGTCCCCGTGTCTCCCTCCCACCTCTTCTGCTCGGAGGTGGAGGAAAGCGGTTCCCTGTCGCATGTGCATGTGTCCGTGGAGGCGTCTGTGTGCATGTGCTAGTATTTAGCGTTTATTTAGCATTCTTTTCGTGTTGGTCCGATGACAACAACAACAAAGTTACTGTAAAACAACGTGATGGGAAGGAACAACGGAGGGGTAGAGACGAGCTTTCGCCCCCGGCCCCAAGCGAGTTTAGTTGCAAAAAACCTGACTGGTCTCCGGTGCGAACTCGGTGACTTTTTCCACGCCCAGCCGGATTTTCTGCCTCTCTCCAGGTGACAATCCCCGCGGTTTTAACTTCACCTTTCTTCGGCTAGCTGTTACCGGTGCTGCCGGGGTAAGCCCGAAGACAGCCGCAAGCCTTCACGGCTGCCGTCGCATTGTTCCCCGCTTGACCCTCCCGCCCACCCCGGTGACGGCGGAAACGGGGGGCCCGGGCTGCGCCTCGGGAGCAGCTGGGGGCTGCCGGCCCGCCTGGGGGAGGCGGGGGGCAGGTCGGCCTGCGAGGGCCGGGGCCGGCGGCGGCTTGACCGGAGGCTGGGAGGAAACAACATTTCTGGCGGCGGGGACCCCCTCCGGCCAGAGCGACATGAAAACACGCACGGATGTTAGCGAGCCCCTTCCCGAAACCCCCGTTCCTTCTAGCCAGGGTCTGGGCAGCGCGGGGGCGACACAGCCTGGCCGGGAGCCGCAGGCACTGGCGGCGGCGGCGGCAGAGGAGCCGTCGGTTCTGCCGCCCGCCCTCGGCCCCGCGCTGCCCCAGCTGCCTGCAGGGTTCGGGGGTCGCCACTGCCCGCCTGCCTCTGGGTCCCGGCGGATGGGGCAAGGCTGCCTCCCGCTGCCTCCTGGCCGGCAGCCGCCGCGGTGGCTCTAGCAGCCACTTTTCCCAGTGTCCGAGGGGAGCGGGGACACAGTTGCCCGTTGTTTTTGTTCCTCTGCGTTTCCTTTCCCTGAGGGATGTCTCCTGCCCTCCCCCGCCTCGGCTTGTTTTTCTTGTGGTTTTAAAGGACAAAACGGTGCGTTTTCGGGTCGTCCCACCGCGCCCCCGCCGCGGGTCCCCGCTGCGCCGGAGGACTGGGTCGTGGGGAAGCCCCGGCGCGGGGGTCCCGCTGCCCTTCCCACCGGCGATGCGGGGTCTTGTGTTTGGTCAGAAAGCGTTTCCACGTGGGAAAGCCTTGTGTGTTTGCGGGTGTGCGCGCATACTTGATCCGCGAGGAGGTAACAGGATTCTCCGTGTTCAAACCCAGTGGGCTCATAGCCATTAATTTCCTTCTCCTGCTGTCACTACAGACACTTCCAAAATCAGATACCCGCGGAGAACCGCCAGCTGGGTTTCGCACGGCTTCGGCTGCGGTTCTCCTCGAGCCGCGGGGGCTCCGCGCCGTTCCCCAGCGCGGGGGTGCCCCGGGGCTGCACCCGACACCCACCCGCGGGGTAGCAGCCCGCGGCGCCTTCCTCCGAGAAGGGAGAGCGGGATTCCACGGCAGCGCTGCTGCCAATCGGTAGTTGGCATCTAAAGTTTCATTTACATTTATGAAACGGCCGCTCGGAGCCAAGCGGGCGCGGTGCTGCCGGCCCGGGACTCGCGGGCAGGGCTTGCAGCCGAGCACACGGAGGGACACGCTGAAGTCGCGCGTTGCGGTGTGAAATAGCTGGTACTTAGAAAAATCCTGAGGGGCAAGCTGTACGAGACAAGGGAGCGCCTTGGCCGGTTCGAGTTTAAGCGTGAAGTCATGCTAGAACAGTAAGGAAACAGTATTTACGGTTTTCTGGGCTTTGTTTTACGTGTTTCACATGCGTAGACTAGAAAGTGTATCTAAGATAAACTAATCAAGAGTTTAGATTTAGAGTGAATTATACAAAGCAGGCATCTCCCCTGTATGGTAAATATATTTTTTGGTCTGACCTCGGAGTTTGTTGTTTGAAGCATGCCCTTTCTATTAAAGCTCAAGCTATATCTTTGTTTCATTTCCCTAACGCTCAAAAGAAAACTTTCGTAAAATTGCTGTGGGTTTCACTTTTCCTCCTTGTATTTCTGAAAATGCTGCTAAATAACAAATGCTTGCATACCTGCAGTATATATCATACTATGAGTAAAGTGGAAATACAGACTGACATTTCGCTGTCTTCCCTGTGATTCTTCCTCTGTATTTGACATCTAACATTAGCTGAGCTATGACCGAAAGCTCTTCTTGCTTTCTTTTGAAAGTTCTGGTATTTATGTTACCAGATGTTCTTCAATCAAATCTAATAGAAATGAAAGAGGAGTTTGTTGGCTGATCTTTTATGTGTCTTTGTTCAGATAATTTGTATGCTTTATTAATTGTTACGTGTATATGATTGTACTGCTAATAAATTTGGTTGACAGTTACTCTTGCTGGATTTGTATTTATTAATGGCTTCACAACACTTTCCAATAGAAACTTATTCTGTATGGATAATGCCAATGGAATAAATAAATTCTAAACAAGCAATGTAATGAATAGGACAACGGTGGTTTTCCAGTTAAAATATTTCAAACAAGGTAACTAGAAATACAGCTATAGATAGTATCCTGTGGCATATTTTTAGCATCTGATGCAAGTGTTACAGTTTAACACTTTAAACTTTATGCAACTTTTGCCTTCCAATCCTAGAATTAATGTTAAACACTGGCATTTGGTGTGGGAAAGGTACCAGTCTGTTTCCTTGATGTACTGGTGGCATTGTACGATGTTCTGTGCAATCCTTCAGTTTTAAAATTTAAACTGCTTTTTCCTTTTAAGTACAAAAGTTAATACAGAAAGAAGAAGGAAATTCCTAGAATTTCTGTCAAGTGTTCTAGGACGCAGCTATTATTTTTTTCTCTGTTATCTTTTTCCTTCTTGAAAGTAGAGAGTTTATGAACTCAGGGTAAAACAGGTCTCCCTTTTTATAAGGAGAGTTTATTCAGCATACTTCTATATTGCAGCTGCTGATCATATTTCATAGAGCTGTTAAAGCACTTAAAACCTAAAATTAGGTACTGTCCGGTAGTAAATATTTCAAATCACTCCTTGAAGAAATAGAGAAGTGGGCTTAAATAAAAAGAGACGTTTTGAAATACATCATTGAAGAAAGGTAATCGTACTTCGCTTTTACTCAAAATAATGCATTTCCAATCTAAATCACCGATTTCAACATAGTGTTCTTTTGTCCATAGTTTTTGTTAATCTCCTGCATTTTTATTGTGATTTTATGTTTGCTTTATTTGATATCATAACCAGGTACTTTGTTCAAGCTATGTTTACGACGGCAACATTTGTATTAACAGGTGTTGAATTAACTTCTAACATGCCTGTATTTCCAGTGAGTGTTCTTGTGATAATAAGAACTGAAATGTAAGTTCCCTTGCTTCCTGGTGTGCGTGTTTCTGGATGGCTTTTAATTGCACTCGTATTTTCCAGATTTAAGATGAGTTAATTTACAGATTAGTATTTTTAATTTGAGGGGTGGGTGTGGGTTTATTGTATGGTAGTTTCCTATTTGTTTTTTAGTTGAACGTAGGAATAGGTTTATTTGCTCCCTATCATTCATTTTTGGTACTGTGAGGGTTTGCAGGAGGAATGCAAACACAAGGGCATCAGACTAGCAGACATCTGTCAAGTTGATCAAGTATTTTTAAAGCTTTTTGGAAGTTCAGCGCTAAACTGTGTCTGGTAGCAGAAACACTCAGATGTCTTTGCTTTTTCTTTGTACTTGACAATCCAGTAGTATTTCTGCTGTCTAATGTATCTGCAGTCTTTCTGATATTTTTTGTAAAAAAAATGGTATTTACGGTATGCGAGTGGAAGAAGAGTTTTGATATTCGGTCATTGATCGAAAGGCTTATAAGTAAACTTAATATGTGGGATTTTTCTTTTTTGGATTTAGATATTGCGCAAATGTGTGTTCAACTTAACCTTTTTCTGTCATTGGAAAGCGCTAATTGATCTTGCTGACCCTGACATAATAGTATAGTTTGATATTCGAAACCTTTCAGCTTTAGCATGGCCCTTTAATCACCCCTGAGATTTCAGGGCATGGTTCTACTGAAGGCATAAACTGCTGCTCTTTTAAAAATTAAATAAAAATGGTTATTAAAAATAAATTATCTTTATGGTCTTTTAAAGACATTAGATGTTTTACCTATCAAAGCCCTAGGGTTTATAATATACATTAAAAAAATTCTGCTTTACTTGTATGTATTAGGTGACATTTTAGATGTTACTGTATAAACATCAGATTTTTATGAAATAATTTTTTTTGGCTAAGTCCACACTTCTGTGTTGCAGTGTTATTAAATCTGTCATTAAATCAGAAGTGGTTAAAGGAACTTGGATGCGCTTTGCAGTGCAAAAGCTCAGATAAGGAGAGTGCTTATATATCAAGTAAATAATAAAATTTATTTTAACAGGCAATAAAACTCACATTTTTAGTCCACATTTTAGTTTGTAATGCTGCTAGAAAGATTGCCTTTGGGATGCCTGTAACACAGTACCTTGGCAAAAACTATGTTAAAGAAGTTTCTTCTTTTTGTCTCTAAACCTGAGAAATGTAATGGATACCTGTCTCCCTTTTTGCTGTAATGTTAAACAGTGAAAATTACTTGGATGATCATATATCCTATATTGAGATGATTGACTGGGCCGTCTCAGTCACGGGATTGTATGTAGACTAGTTATCAGACTTTTGAGCAAAATGTCAAATGCAAATGGTTGTCTGAAGAATATTAAAGTTTAAGCATATTATTTCAATTTGTTTAAAATTTCTTCATGTCTGAAATTTCTCCACTTCTCCAAGGGAAGATTATAATGACCAGTGATTATCTTCAGAACTGTGGAGGTCCATACACTAGTGAGACTTTATTTGGTCTTAAGCTGTTAGGCTTAGGTACAAGGCACTAAACTTTGAGTTAGACTGCAATTACCATAGATTCGAAAAAGAGGAGTTTGAAGGTTTTCTGTGCCTAAATTCCTTTGGAGATCTGTGTCCTTTTCCTAGAATTAATTAAATAAATAAATACTATTTCAGTGATTTTTCACTGAGCGGCCCTCTGTAGAAGTAGTGTAGCGAGTAATGTTGCGGGGCTGTGGAGGGCAGTTCAGCTGGATGTAATTTATGTGCTGTCTCAGAAGAACTCAGTCTCTCTGGGCTGACTGAATACTGTGTCTTTACGGTTGCCTCATATTATGGCAGATCTATACAATTTGACTAATTTGGAGCAGCAAATTGGAAAAAGACCTCCCAAGACAACCTACATAGAGAAGACTGATTTTGTATAGGTGATAACTTTTTAGTTATGAGTTTAAGTTAATATACACTATATTTTTTGGCAACATTAGTTACTTTTGTGATGTGACCCAGTATAAGCTGACATTCTCAGCAGCATAAAAAGTTACTGCTGCCTTTCTTTTTTTAATTGGGTAGATGCAGCAAGTAACTAGTCTGCTCTTGAAACATATATCATTAAACCACAAAAATCTACATTAAACCTGAAGAGTCTGATTTAGACCACAAAAGTAAAAAATAATAGAGAATTTGCAATTTTTCAAATAATTCTCCTCTATGACTGTGTATGTAACTACTGAAATCAATGCTGATGCTTGAGGTAATTGGAAACTTAACTTGATGTTTTGTGCCAGATCCTTAGCTGTTGCAAATTGGAGTAGGAATGCTGAAATTACTGGAGTGGTCTCACATTATGCCAGATGAGTATCTAGTCCTCTATTCTTAGTGCAGTCTGATTTTTTTATGGGGAATTGCAATATACATTATATGTGAGAGATCACATGCACAGGGGAGTGATCCTGCAATACTTAGGAAAAAAAAACAAAGGAACAATAAGTACAAATGTCCAAAACATATATTTATTTTCTTCCATTTTAGCATATTTTCATACTCCTGCATAAGAATATTTTTTTTTGGTAACATTTTATAAATGACCAGAGATATTTTTTTTATTTACTGTAGTATGTTTCCAGAACATCACAGAAAATGAAATTCACCTTACTCCCAAGAGAGACCACCTAAACCAACCTCTGTACACTTCAGTTTAAGCATCCTGACATCATGCTATATATGAGGTTTTTCTTCCAACTCTTCTGAGTGTCCCAGCATAGACATGATTTCACAAAACCAGGCACCCCCCAGGGAGATTATGCACATTTCCTCTGCCAAGTTCTAGCAGTGCAGCTCAGACTCAACCTAACATTTCTGTTCTGGTCTTAACACAGAGGATTGGGGAGCTGGGAACCAGTAGTGCTGAATAGTATACAGGTTTTACAAATGCAATAATTATATTCTGGGAAAGGGTCTTGAAAATAAAACTTCCTGTTACCCCAAGGCAAGATTGGGACTGTGGTGGGTTTTCCAAATGGAAAGATTAAAGTACTTTTCCACTCAGCCACCTATTTTTATGTTTATTGTAATCTGTCATGGCAGAAAGAGCTGTTGTAATGTTCATATTAATTTTATTCAGTTGATTGCCTGTTCAGGGAAGCAATTTTTGCGTTCAAAGCACCAAGTCCTGAGCTCACTGTTCAGCAGTATGTCTGGGAGTCATCTGCAATAGAAGGTCTTTAAGCTAAAATGGCCAGATGATGTGTTTCATAGTAATTTCTGGTAGCTAGTTAGCTATGATTCAGCTTGGTTTCCAATTTTCTGTTTAAAGGATAGTCTAATTTCTCCAAGGGCTAGGTAAGTAGTCAAATTTTTGTCATAAAACAAATGAAGTGGAAGGGTTTG